GTTGATTTTATTGATATATTGGATTAATCACTTCTTGAAGTTAATCATTGTTCAAACAACATCAAAGCGTTTCACGCAATATATTTCAAACATCCAAACGATCGTATACTGTTTCATGCTAAAAGATCTATTAAATCCATTGACAGTGAAACGGTATTTCATATACGGTTCTTACAAGAATTATTGTTATTTAAGACTTAGGAAAACGTATATACAGCAAGCACGCACACTGTGCGTATTTCTGGCGCGCGTTTCCATTCAGTGACAGTACTTCGACGGACTGGACTGTTGAAGCGAAAGGGTTAAATCACATCGATATCGCTTATTCATTACAGTCCCAATTTTATGTGAACTTACATTCGATTACACATCAGACGTGTCATTACAATTACATTCGATACACATGCGAACACGTATTAACACTTTGACTGCTATGTCGAAATTACATGCTTCGCTCAGGACACCACGGGAGTATTTTTATTATTCAAAGTATATAATGGCAAAATTATAATAAATTGATAATGTAAGACAACATTCTTCCCCAATGCACCGGATGCCTTGGTAACAGTTGATAGCGACATATTATAACAAGGCTTCGTTTATTTCAACAAACCATTCAAACGTCCAAACAAGCAAAACGTCCAGAATATATTGTTGGAACGTGTAGAATATATTAGTAAACAGTATTATGATTATTTTTATGATTTCGACAAAACATTCGGCTGAAATGGTAGAGATCCGCAAGAAAAATTATGTTTGTGATAAACGAATGGTAGTGGTAGATTACAACAGAGGAAAATGTGCTGTAGATTTATCAGATCAAATGATAGCATATTCTGCACCACATAAAAGAACCCTCAAGTGGTATATAAAATTAGCTTTAGAGTTATTATTAAATACATCAATTTCAAACGCGATGATACTCTATAAACAAGCAACAACAACAAAAATCAAGGTATCAGATTTTAGAATGGCACTCACAACGCACCTTACACAGTGCCATTCACCAGAGCCGTCAAATATACTTATTCGACAAAGATTGCGACACGAAATGCAGAAGAAAGAAGGACAAGCGTGTTTGGCACGGAAATTTTGCAGAGGGTGCTATAAAAAGAACGTTAAACGGTTAGGATCAAAAATTGATAAGAATCGGACCAAAAAGATGACCACCTATTCTCCAGATTGTATTGATGAGCCACATTTATGTTTAAAGTGCTTTAATACGATGCAACACCGTTAGATGCAAGAGTTGTTTTCTTTTTTTTATTGATGTTCTAATAAAAATGTTTAATTGTTCAATGGGGCACTTTTTATTTCAAAGTATCTTCTATCTATCGATTATATTCAAAATACCCTAACTGTCAATTTTTATTCAATTTTTGCAACTGTAAGAAGTTCAAGCGCTCCGATCACCAATGACCACCGTGACGTCACAGGAGAAACCGTGGCCGGTCATATGACCAAAGTGTCAACGCTATCGACAGCGACTTCAAGACGCGATAAGAGTAGTTTTTAACGCGCATCGAGCCACTGATAGTCCGTGTTTCTAAGGTACGAAATCGAATGCTTGTTGCGAATATCGTTGGCAATTCGAGTCAGTATCTCGTGATGTTTTGGCTGTCGCAAAGCAGCCGGTTGACTCCGCTCCAGTCTGACATCGACTGTTGACGTCGTCGGAGCATCAACCTCGCCGGGTGATCGACCGCCCAAAGTAAATTCGTTAACGTCAAAATCTGAGAACGACAATGTTAGCGAATTACAGGGAGCGACGCGATACGGCGCGGTGACTCGAAAAAACGCCGGTGCGCACGAAAAACGCCGTGTCGTTGTAGTAGACAGGTAAATAGGACGTGGCAGCTCGCTCGTGTGTTCGTACAGATGTAAAGATAGAACGCACGAGCGAGTTGAAGAAGCGACGTAGGAATAGAAAGAGAACGCTGCATAGACATCTCTTGCGTTCTTGTCTAATAACACGCAGCAATATATAAATAATGCTCGTACGCAGAATAGCGCACGCATATTCGAATAGGAATTGCGTTAGTGTAACAGCGATCAACGAGCGACGTCTCCCATATCTTATGAATCTACACGGTGACATTCACGCGTGACTCGCTTACTCTGTGCCTTGTATCTGCACGCGTGCACGACTGGAAACATACGCCGAATTGGTGTAATACGACCTGCCGCTCAGCCGTATATTTTATTATTTTATTTTATTCCATATACGTAAATCCTATAGATTTTAAAAAATTAAATTCGAGAAATTAAATTCCACGTTCGCTTGTGCGTACTTCTCTGTACATGTTTCTTTCGTTTTATAAGGAGATAATGGATGCACGACATTTTCCGTTTTATATTATTTTATCGAATTACGTATGATCCATTTTGTTCTATCAAAATAAATGAGGTGGATAAGATCGTGATAGGTACCGCCGGTGTATGAAATTTTTGTCTTCATCAGGGTTGTCATCTTCTCAGTTAGGAATTTTGTAAGAAGCCGGACTGTGAGTGCCGGGATTCGAACCTGGTCTTGAACGTTCGTAATCGGCTGCTCTAACCACTGTTAGTGTCTTTGTGTACCAAGACAAGGGACAGAAACCATTGGAAAGTTTTGCTGTCGAGTGCCGCTATATAAAGATCACAACGTTCGACAGATTAGGTTTCATGTCTGTGTAAAGATACATCGTTGTAAAAGACGTGTTTGTAAAAGAAAGACACTTTTCGGATAACCTAATATCTTCGAAGTGACTTCTAATCTTAGTTACACGATATCTTATGCTGTTTCAACGTCCTAATAAACACCCTAAGCAAAGAGTACACGAACCATGGTATCAGTCTACGTAACAACAAAGGAAGGATAAAGTCGAAGCGCGGTGTATTAGCACGATCGTATTTAGGAGAATTAATCGAACCGATCGTACGCTCGCAGCTTCGATCCTCCATAAGCCTCGCCATTCAGTCGATGAAAACAGACAGCCGCTTTGTAAGCAAACGTTCTAACGCTAATTGAACGTTAGATCCGCCGTATCGTGCACCGATGTATACAACCGATGTTTCGCAATGTGCCAGGCACTTTTAACCGATGACGCTTGTAGAGCGGTTAGATAACCGAAAGTACATCAAAGTTGGCATTCGCACGAGGGATCGCTGCGCAGCGATGAACCACACGGATTCAGTTATTCGTCGGCTGTGCCGATGATAGCTTTTCGACGAATTATCGCTTCGTGACCGCGAATAATCATGGGCGAGGTGCATTCGATTTTCGAGACGGTCGACGGTTGGATACGGAAGCTGAAAAGTTGCCATAACGCGCCGATCCCCAGGACCCAGATTGCCGAAACGAAAATCACGATCGAAACGAACGATACGATTTTCGATCACGAGATATGGAGGCAAGCGTTGCTAGTCGAGGCGCCTGCTCTTCGCAACCTGCTGTTCGGTGTGCCCGCCGAGAACAACGTCTTCGAGATCGTTTGCACGATCAATCGCTTGCTCTTCTTTTACGTAATCATCAAATGGATCAATTACGAAGCCTGGGTACTGGCTGGCGCCGAACCCTTCGTTTTGAACCGGTGAAAGCTTGGCTATCAGTAAACGACCATGTCGACGTGTTCCTTCGTTCGAGTTGATCCGTACGATTGTCAACCAGCAGTGCAGTGCCTCTGAGTGGCCTCGGAAAAAGATTTCGACAGAAAAGGACGGAGAAAGCATTCATTCAAGAATTAATTGAAAATTATGGAGAGAAGACGCGAATGATTTTATAAACAAAGTGAAAAGCTTTATGTAAGAAGAAAAAAATACTTGATGAAATATAATTTTTCCATCGTTTTTTATGTTTCCTGAAAGTCTTAGCGCTTTTCATGTTCCTCCGGCGAGCTAGAGTTTCTAAAATTCTGCAACTTTTACGATTAACTTTTACCCTTTTTTGGTAATATTCGAATACTCTACAAAAATTGTAATTTTTACTAGAAATTATAAAAAATGTCTCGCATATTCAATTATCTTTTTTAAGTTACAAAGAGTGTTCCACGTATATTTCCATGTTAGTTCAATCCTTATCACAAGTAACAAAAGATGTCTCGCATATGTTTCAAAAAAAATTCTACGAAACCTGTAGTTTTGTATCGAGAAAGATTGAAATTAGCAGAATTTTATATCTAATAATCGAAGGGGCGAATCTACGTTTCCGATCAAAGTTAGACATTCACACTAAGAGCAGTATAGTCGCAGGACATTTATTAGTAACGAAAAGTAGCCACGAACATACGACTGTATTCGCTGGAAGCGGCGTAGACTGATAGTTAGTTCGGAAAACTTCTGAATATCACGTTACACGAGCTCGCAAGTGTCGTTTGGTTCCTTCAACTAAATTCTCGTCTCTCCACCTAACGTTTAGCTGGAATTCGAAGGTACGCGTTTCGAGAAAGAGAGAGAAAGAGAGAGAGAGAGAGAGGGAGAGAGAGAGAGAGAGAAACAAGGAGTGGGCGCCAATATTTTCAAGAATCAACATACCAGCGAACGCTAAAATTAAGCCAGAGTTCTATACCGATTCACGGAATGCGCGCCAATAATTATCGTTCGAGCTTATTCCCAACAACGCAGACAGCGTTTCAGGCAGTTGAATTTTTATATCTGCTGTTACCGTTAATTACGCGAAATGCCGGGGACAGAGGGCGGAAATTGCGAAGGATCTGGTGTCGATGGTACGAAATGAAATTTAGCCGCGATCGAACGCAATTTATTTCCATGTCCATGCATCAAATCCGTGGCCGCCAGCGAAAATAGACTGCGATTTCCATCAAATGCACACGTCTGTCCGTTTCGTCTATCGAAACGTTCGGCTCTACACGCTTAACGCCAACTGTACGTATACTTTGCCGAATATCGCGAAAAACGCTGCGTGGATAAAACGTTTGATCTTTGCGCTTATAAAATGAAAATGTTCGAAAAGGGATTTTAGCGAGAGAAAGAAAAAAGGAGAGAGACAGTAACGAGAAAACTGAATCTCTGCTGGCATACTTAGCAACAATAATGTTTTAGTATAATCTAATAATATTAATAACAATATATAATATAATATTATAATAATAATAAAACAATAATGATCTAAATATTCACCGATAAACACGTGGATACGAAAGAGCAAAGATAATCAGCTATTTGCAAAATTTTGTGGAAGGAAGCCGTCGAGGGGAAATTAATTTTCGTTTAAATTCTAAGTGGAGGTCAGTGTTCGCTAAGTCTCAAAGAAACCCCACGATGGATGATGCGATTAGAATTGTTAAGATGAATAAACGATTGTTAATGAAATATTATATTCTTACCGTTGATTGGTTCACGTGTAAGCGCAGAGGCGTGATTCATCGTGGAAAACGCGAGGTTTATACAGATTTCCAGGCGGCTTTTGTTATAAAACTGTCCGCACGAGGGAACACATGACGCGTGTCTTCTTTTTCTTTGGCAAACCGCGTCCTGCTGCCAACATCCGTCCTTTCAATCACACACATCGTCGTGTTTAACGTTCAACTGGTAGAAGCCGTTGCGTTAAAATTTGAATCAACGCGATACACGAACGAGGTATAGTAAGGTGGATAGTATGTACGTACATTACAAACGCTGTTTTATTTTTCATACAATAGGATATGATTAAGAAGTGTCCTGAATTAGAATATTCTAAAACAGCGTCTTTTTGTGATTTTTTTCTAGAAGAGAAAGGAAGAAATGAAGTTATTGAATGTTGAGATATGGTTTTACATATATTTAATGAATACAAAAAAATTAAAAAAAAAAATTATAACAGATTTCTAAGCCTATTTCACGGGCTGCAATTTTCAATTCCAAATTTCCAAAAAAGGATTAAATTATTATATATTTTTCTCCTCGATGACTAAAAAAGTTCGCCAAAAAGTTTATTTAAATAATTGTTATAGCACCTTAAAGTTTATTTTTTTTTTTACAAAGCACATTTTTTCTTTGAACCCGCTAAAATTTTTAATTTCACACTATTTCCTGCCCTTTTTTTTTAGTTCATCGAGAAGAAAAATATATAATAATTTAATTTTTTTTTTTTTGGTGTTTTGTTTCGGTCAAGAATTACGAGGTGGATCTTTCACGTCGACTGAAAACTGCAGCCCATGAAATAGGCTTAGAAATCTGTTGTAATTTTCTTTTTTACTTTAAAAAAAATTTTTTTGTATTCGTTAAATATATATAAAACCATACCTCAAAATTCAATAACTTCATTTCTTTCTTTCCTTTCTAAAAAAAATCACAAAAAGACGCTGTTTTAGAACATTCTAATTCAGGACACCCCCTTAAAAAATTGCAGATACAGGAATCTGTGCTTTATTATTATTATTATTATTATTATTATAGTTATATAACAACAGGAAAAGATTGATTTTTGAAAGATAATATATAATATCTAAATATAAAATTTTCCCATTTGCATCATGGCCCTACTTAACAGGACAGTTGAAGGCATCAGCGGCGTTCAACTGACGACTGGTTCCGAATTCTTCATGGAGTTTATCGAAAATTTACTGTTCAAAACGATTGGTAGACAATGTTACTTCGCAAACATTGCATCTTACATTCTTCATAACAGAGGAAAAAAGTAAAAATTATTTATTTAAAAAGAAATTATTTAGATTAAAATGGAAATTAAATCATATTATTTCTCGTGGAATTCTTTAAAATGGTCAATACATAATCGTACATCTCGAATATGGCATTTAAAGACCATTTCCCTTCGAGTACGTTTAATCCATTGGGGCAACTAAATTTTAGTTTACATTATAAAATTAGAATAGTTTTTAAAATTTGAATGTGTTAAATTTAATTAAGACTGACAGTACTTGCTCATAGTGACAGTTGAAAAGATTTTCACAAGAAAAGTAAGACTTGTTTAGAAAATAATAAACCGATATAGGCGAGATGCTGACAAACGGGTCAAACGTGATCTCTCACATCTGAAGAATACTTAGCGACTGAAATAAAAAGCAGTCGCAGCGCGCGTAATAATCAGCGCTTGGATGCAAATGGGTTATGCAGATACAAAATAACGATAGGATACAAAGGCAAAGACAAAAGAGTGAGGAGATAGAAAATTAGTATTTGTAATTGTTGAAACTCATTACATAAAACTTCCTTATTTGGGAAATTGTTTGCCTCTGCGGTTATTTGAATTTCAAGCTACCAATCAGAGATCTACGCATATTGTTAACTACAATTTTAACGGATAATGCAAATTCAGTGGACGTTCCACTAATAGTAAAGGGCCGCTTTAATTATTAACTTGCCAATTTGCTAGTTCGTCTAAACGCGATTGGCAGCGGTTAAATTCCCAGTTCGTCTGATTGGCCTGAGATTAGGAGCAATCTCGCTTTTGTGTTTCACGGTTCATTAGATATTCTGCACCGTGCGTTTCTATTTTCAGCTGATGTTTAGCCATCCATTCGAAAGTAGACCAATCCCAATGACCAACTTCCAGTGTGTCCATCGATATATTCCGAATCTTCACCGTTGTGTGTTGTGTTATCGATTTTTTCACATCGTTTAACTCAACTACAGCTATTGCTATAACAGCAGACATAGCATAGACATGTTCATAGTTGAAAATTTACGATTTTGCTTTCAAAACTAATTCTTTTGCCAAGCGTGGCTTCTAAGAGAAAACAGGGTTTACAGATTCGCGTTTAGCTCGCAAAAGTTTAGAAGAAACGTCTACTGAAAGTTGCAAGATAAGATTTGTTGAACAATGTAATTAAAGATAACGATCGTGAAAGTACCGAGCTAATTGAGAAATTTTTCAAAATAAAGTACAGATTATTGCACTTTGACCGTTCGAATTAATAGCAAGAAGCATACACTTTGTCTTCGCTTTGTTCAAACTGCTTCGAAATTCAAAAAAGAAGCATCGATTTGGAAAAAACCCGCATCTTCGAAGCGCCCAGGTTTAACGAAGTGTAAACAACATTTCTTTGTTTTCTTTTCAGGTTTTTCAACTGTTATTCCAACTTCTAGATAGAAAATAAGAGGAACATAAATGTACTAGCTGTCCGGCCGCGCCTTCGTCCTCACAACCCTCGAATTTATGTTTATCGCTCTCTGTTTGAACGCTCCTTTAGGACTTGAATTTCGAAAAACGCTCCAACACGAGATCATTTATTTCTAACGACCAGCTTATTTGCCGCATCCTAAATCACCAGCTTTAACCGATATAGAGACACGGTTTTCCTTTGACTAAACAACTTACCCCCTTTTGTCCCCATTAAGGGTTGAATTTCGAAAAACGCTGAAACACGCGTTTGTTTATTTTTGGTGCTGATTTCTAGTGAATTTTTAATGAGCGCACAACTACAGCTACTCGTGGGATATGAGATGTTTTAAAAAAAGTTGTTACTCCAGTTTTACCCCTTTAGGGAGCGTATTATTTAGATCATTTAAATAATAATTTAATATTATTATTATATTATATTATATCGTTATATCATAATCATTTTAATAATAATTTAAATCATTTCTTATTCCACGTTTGCGTCATAAAAGAAATATACCGTGCAGATTTCACGTTTCTAGCGATTTGGATTCATTGATGGATTTCAAAGAGAAATGAATTTAGCTGTCTAAATTTGTTTCATGAAAATATGTAGTAATTTTTTCACTTCTTTATTCCAGAAGCAAAAACATCGTATATCGTTTGTGTGATTATGCTACTCGCGTATCTCGTTTCACTGCTAATTGCGTCCCTGCATTGTTCATTTCTTCCAACGTTCTTCGTAATATCGCATTTTATAATATTCTTTCTCTAATATTCTGTTTTTAGGAAACGTCGTTTGGAAATGAAAGTTACGTCTGCTGAGTTAGAAATCGTTTTAATCCGAGATAATAAGCGTCAGCTAAACGGCTGCTATGATTATTGGTCCATGATACTCTTCCACTTGTATCTCGTTGCCTATGCAGATGTTTTAAATAAAATCAGAATAAAAATTCGACAGAAATTAAACGACTCTTATAGAAGTATCCCTATGCTATGGTACGTGTATCAGAGGGAGAAAGAAATATTTACATTTCAAGATGTTGTTTTCTTCCTTAGACGTGACTTTAGTATTTTATGGAGGCACGTTATGGCGATCTATATACGTAAATGTGTTTCTGGGAGGTCCACGATCTATTTCAGAAAACATCACACGCTGCGTTCGTGGCGTCGACTTCATTCGCATTTCCTGAAGAAAACCTGGTTAATTACAATTTCTTTAGCGAAGAATAACAGTGTTTGAATAACCACAGCTTCAGTTAATATCGATATAAAAATACGTATCGGTCAGATCAATTCAGATCAGATCGGTAATTGCATATGAAATTCATTATTTTGATGAATGAAATGTTCCTCTTTTATTTCGTGGTATTTTTCTTTACCAACTATGACATTAGTATTACTACTACGCTATTACTAACAAGAAGAGAAAGAACAGAAGCTTCTTCGTTATTTGACACCTGTAGTTTTTCAAAATCTCGTTATTTGTACTCAATATTACACACTTGAAGATTAAACTACTACTACTACACTACTACTAACTATTACTAACAAGAAGAGAAAGAACAGAAGCTTCTTCGTTATTTGACACCTGTAGTTTTTCAAAATCTCGTTAGTTGTACTGATTATTACACGCTTGAAGATTAAATAATTTTATGCTTGTTTTATTTTATTCGTCTATCCATTCTATTTATTCTGTGTAAAATTCTGTTGTGTAAAATTAACGACACTTGTAGTTTTCCAAAATCTCGTTATTTGTACTCGATATTACACGCTTGAAGATTAAATAATTTTATGCTTGTTTTATTTTATCTCTTCATTCTATTTATTCTGTGTAAAATTAACGACACCTGAAGTTTTCCAAAATCTCGTTGTTTGTACTCAATATTACACGCTTGAAGGTTAAATAATTTTGTGCTTCTTTCATTTTATTCGTCTCTTCGTTCTATCTATTCCGTTGTGTAAAATTAACGTGAAATTAAGGTAGAAATATGCTATTTTGCGCGCTGAGAGAACTGTGACCTATGAGGTTTATGATATACAGAAAAATAAAATCGACTTTGTTTATTTATAGCACCGTCACTGTTGAGGAGCGATATATGACATAAATAATAAATAAGTAAACGAATTTGGAAGTAAGATTGAGAGATAACTTGAAAGATATCAATTATTTTTCATACGTAGAAATAAGCTTCGACTATTTAAACCGCGAAAGAAATTTCCCTGTCTCGCGATAACACGAGATAACGCAATTAATGTCCACATTTTGTCAATTTATAATACGCCGACTCCGCACTGTGAGATTCTGGTATATAATTGTCATCAAGGAAACCATTTTGTTTCTTGATAAAAATAATTTGAAACGCTAAATAGGAACAAGTGAAGGTAAAATTATCCACGTTGCTCGGCATTTTCCTGCGGACGATACAAATAGACACGAAGTATCCGAGATAATTCACGGTGCCTCGCGTGACTTTACATTTTGATGTTTTAGCTGAAAATTGCTTACTTAATAACGAGGCAAGGGTTCAAGGATACTGCAGGAAAGCCGACTAGAGCGTTTGCCTAAAAGAGAAAAGAAATTGGATTTTTGGACAAAATATTCTACGAGACTAGTCTTGTTATCTTGTTGTAACGCTATCTTATAGTTCTTTTTGCCGATCGATAGAATTTATTCATTGATTTTGAAACGTTCGATGATGGATCAAAATGTGTGAATTAACGAGAATTATCGAATATGGACAACTTTTGCAATCTTTTTGGTCCAAATTGATCGGTCGATTTTTTAAGCATTTTACAAATGGACTAATTATTGTTTCATTGTAAACAAAATTGAATATGGATCTCCTACAAAATTTACATTTACGTAAAACTTTGCCTACCTTATTCTGAATTTATTGATCGATTCTTTTCAAATTTCGTAAATGGAACGACACTTTTCAACGATATTGAGATCCACTGGGAAATACCTCCTGTAAATTGTCAAGTGTATTCATCTCGCTTTCTGCGCTCGAAGTTGGTCCAGATGAATTCGATTTAATCGCTTGTTTTTTATTAATACGTTATATTGTTTATTGAACATGAAACTGCTACAAAATTGACGCAGAACTTTTCCCATCTTTTTCTCAGTCCATTGATCGATTGTTTTCAAATTTCGTAAATGGAACGACACTTTTCAACGATATGAAAATCCACTGGGAAATACCTCCTGTAAATCGTCAAGTGTATTCATCTCGCTTTCTGCACTCGTAGTTGGTCCAGACGAATTCAATTTAATCGCTTGTTTTTTATTAATGCGTTATATTAAATAATAAAATTTACGCAGAACTTTTCCTATCTTTTTTTAAATCCATTGAT